GGGTGGTCATTTTGGCTGATTGGTGTACATGCTGAGTGAAATATATCTCTGTATCTGAAGTTTTTGCTCTGGAAAGCCTTCTAATGGTTGGTGATGGGTTTGCACACGAAGATCACTGCTGCACAGTGTTGAACCACACAGGTGTTGATACTTGGACTTCACTGGACAAGTTACAGTATCTTGGACTTGGGCTATCAGTACATCAGGGCAGGTCATGTGGCACATCATTGCTATTAGCATGTGGGAGAGGTTGTTCATAATGTCATGGTGGGTCATGTGACACGTTCTGCCTATCAGTATTGGGGGGGGGGGGGGGGGGGGGGGGGGGGGCAGTCTGTAGCATAAGGGCAGGTCACTTGACATTATGGGATAGTGATGGTCATATTACACTTTCTACATACATGTCAGTTCGGATACAACCCCCCCCCCCCCCCCCCTTCCTGTAACATGCCTGTTGGCAAAAGTCTATATCTGATTGGCCACCAAACAGCAGTACATGCAGAAGAGACCCCACTGACCTCAACAAAACATGACAGTAACCCCAGGCAGACAGTGATGGAACTAAATGTTTATTGCAAAAAAAGAACAAAAATGTGTTCTAGGATTTTTTTTTTTTTTTATATTTGCAGTTTTTTATTTTCACACATAAATAAATATAAAAAATATAATAAACAAAAACACTCAAAGGACATAAACATGATAAAAAAAACATAGTTAAAGTCTAGCAAACCAACCGCAGTGATCAAGTGCAAAGGTCCCAGATCTTTGATCTTCGGATGAGCTCAGACATGGAAAACTGATCTTGTGGATAAATTGGGGCTTTTTGGCCTCAGTGAAGCTGCATGTGGGTTAAAAAGGTAAAAATTTCAAAAACAAGCTCATGCAGGATGGACTTTGAGGAAAATGGCCTTGTGGGAAAAATTCAACATGTCCCTTGTCTGTACCACTGGTTCCCAACCTCAGTCCTCGAGTATTCCCAACAGGTCATGTTTTGGGAACTTCCCTTCGAAAAAAAAACAGTTCTCATGAATACCAAACCATTAACATTGATTTAAAGTACCTGTGCAAGGTGAAGGAAATTATGAAAATGTGACTTGGGGGGGCTACTTTAGGACTAAGGTTGGGAACCACTGGTCTACGATATCTCCAAGAACCCTACTGATGTTCCAAAAACAAGCTCATGCAGGGCCAATAATGGACAACCCTGGAGGAAAATGGCCTTGTGGAAAAATTCAGCATATCCCTTGTGCAGAAAAAGTTTCCAATTCTCACGTTGTTACCAAGATCCAATGTCAGTCTACGTCAGTGGTTCCCAACCTCAGTCCTCAAGTATCCCCATCAGGGAATGTTTTGGAAACGTCCCTTAGAAGAAATAGTTCTCATGAATACCAAACCATTGACATTGATTTTAAGTACCTGCACAAGGTGAAGGAAATCCTAAAAAAAAAACATCACCTGCTGGGAGTACTTGAGGACCGAGGTTGGGAACCACTGGCCTACGATATCTCCAATAACCCTACTGACGTTGAGCTCCAGCAGGCCACTTGTCATTGTGCATTTTCCGAAGACCACGAATTCAGACATGTGCAGAAAGCTTCCCTTGATGGGAAAGTTTATTTTGTACCTTCTATGTGAATTCTCTGAAGTGTACTACGATCTGACTGTTACAACAATCCCCACACAGATGAAAGACACATCATCCTGAAAATAACCAAGATGACAAGATGGGACATCCTTGCCGGAAGCCGATAGCAGAACTGGTGGAACCAAAGACCAGCAGGTTTAGGTGAATGTCGAAAGCTTCCCTTGATGGGAAAGTTTCTTTTTACCTTCTGTGTGAATTCTCTGATGCGTATTACAATCTGACTGTTACAACAATCCCCACACAGATGAAAGACACATCATCCTGAAAATAGCCGAGATGACAAGATGGGACATCCTTGCCGGAAGCCGATAGCAGAACTGGTGGAACCAAAGACCAGCAGGTTTAGGTGAATGCCGAAAGCTTCCCTTGGTGGGAAAATTTCTTTGCACCTTCTGTGCAAGTTATCTGATGGTTATTACGACCTTTCTGAGTAAATGATCCCCACACAGATGAACGACACATCATCCTTCCAAAAAAAAAGGCGAGAGGACAAGATTGTATATCCTTGACCAGGGCTGATAACAGAATGGGTAGTTGGGGAAATTTGTTCAGCATGTGGCACAAGTGCGTAAGATGAGATCAGTGATGCTTCAAGCCAAAGTCCAGCTGTAAACTTTTTATTTTGTTTTTACAGGAGCTGGGAAGGGTTGGAGGCTGTGTAACATCCTCGTCCCTCATAAGATTACCCTTACTTCCTTTTAAAAGACAGGAAGTGATGGAAAAACCTTTTGAAAGTAGAGCAGAGAAGGCCAAATCTTCCCAGTAGGGTGAAAGACAGAAATGGAAACCTAAGATTTTAAAGCCCATCCCCAGGCAAAATCTTTTACCTTTTCAACTTGTGTACACAGGATAAAAATCTTCTTTCTTGTTCTATAACCGCTTACAGAAATTCTACCTTTAGAGGCCATCAGCCCCACATTTCCTGTTCATGGGATGGGATGGGACCCACCCCCGTATCTTAGCTCTGTGGGTTAGGAGGTAATCACCATCAGCACTTCCTGACACAACTTGTTAAAGTTACATAGACACAACTGGTAAAGCTGAATAAAGACACCAGTCCATCCAGTTCAACCTGGGGCGAGGGGGGGGGGGCGTGCTTATGTCAATACCATATCCTATACTATATCCCTTTATATTGCATACACTAAGATACCCATCTAAGAAGTTTTTTTTTTTTAATTATCTACACTCCCTGCTGGCATCACCAACTGTGGAAGGGAGTTCCACATCCTTACATCCACATCCAGGGAATGTCCAATTGCCCCTTAGGGGATCAGGAAGGAATTATTTCCCTGCAGGATCGAATTGGATCATGCTTTTCTGGGTTTTTTTTTTGCCTTCCTCTGGGTCAACTGTGGGTATAGGATTGTAACTTTTTTTTTTTTAATGGTCGAAGTGGATGGACTTTTGTCTTTTTTCAGCCAGACTAACTAAGTAACTTACAGCTCTGACAGTAAAGAACCCCGTTCACAGTTTAAGGTTAAATCACTTCTCCAACTTCATTGAGTGGCCCCATGTCTTCTTAAAGTATTACTAAACCCACAACAGTAAAATCAGTCTATATATGCAGTAAAGCATGCCTGTTATATTCACTGTGGAACCTAAGGGGTTAATCCTCTGCATTGTGGAAAAATGCTGTTTGACCCCTCTCTTCCCTGATCCTCCGTTTCTTCTACTGTCCCCAATCCATCTGCTGACAGTACAGAGCTCTAGGAGTCACCCTGCACATGCTCTGTTTGGCGTGTATTGCTGGAGTTTTTTTTTTCTCTGGGAGAGTGCATGTGATCAGCACAGGGCTAATCCATGCTGTCCAGACAGAGTGTCAGGGGTCATGCAGCCTTATAGGACAGTCAGAGGAGAATGAAAACTCCTCCTACAAAATTAACCAGTGCTCAGCTGGACACTGATAGAAGCCACAAGATTGCTATTTGCTGCTGATGAGAAAAGGTGGTTAGCAGTTCATATTTGCTAAAATTGCATTTCCGTGTACTGTGGGAGACCAGATATAGTGAATGCGGGGTCCGGGGAAAGCGGATATAGTGAATGCGGGGTCCGGGGAGAGCGGATATAGTGAATGCGGGGTCCGGGGAGAGCGGATATAGTGAATGCGGGGTCCCGGGGGGAGAGCGGATATAGTAAATGCGGGGTCCGGGGTGAGCGGATATAGTGACTGCGGGGTCCGGGGAGAGCGGATATAGTGAATGCGGGGTCCGGGGAGAGCGGATATAGTGAATGCGGGGTCCGGGGAGAGCGGATATAGTGAATGCGGGGTCCGGGGAGAGCGGATATAGTGAATGCGGGGTCCGGGGTGAGCGGATATAGTGAATGCCGGGTCCGGGGAGAGCGGATATAGTGAATGCCGGGTCCGGGGAGAGCGGATATAGTGAATGCCGGGTCCGGGGAGAGCGGATATAGTGAATGCCGGGTCCGGGTTTAGTAACACTTTAAGTTCCCTGAAACTGAAGAGTTTCCTCCCTGTGCTAGAATCATCATTTAGATATGTGTATATCTCTATCATATCTCCTCCTAAGCCCCCCTTCTCCAGGAAGTTTGATGCTTCTAGTCAGTAAAGTGTAACTAAACCCTCCTATTCTTTATAGCCATGAAAGCTGCCATCTTGTCCTCTGTCTGATCTGCAGTTGCCATGGTGCTGCACATGTGATCAGTTATGGCACCAGCCATTTGATGGTCTGACAACTTGGCTGAGAGCACAAGCAAATGTTAGGGTCACCATACACCGCATGCCTTAAATCTGTTTTGATAAACAGCTAAATTGATGGGTTTAGTTCCACATGAAGGTGTCTTCTGCTTGCCAGGCTCTGCCTACATTTTGGGCCCATCTTTTCAGCTCAACATCTAGCTGCAGTGGAAAAGTACAAAGCTCAGAGGTCCCTGCCAAGGTCTGCCCAAAGCCTGCCCACCCACCTATGAAGGCTCAAGGAGATATCGAAGGAGCGAGCAGAACCTTCTTCCTAGTGACTCGAAAATGGTGTCATCAATCACTGGCTAAAAATATGCCAGTAGACGTAAAAACAAGCACGGTAGGTCAGAATGTATTTATGGGGATTACTGTGCACTGAGGAAGGGTAGGGAGCTAGAAAATATGGTGCCCAACGTCAGGTATTAACTCTTCTCACACGATCCAAAAGCAAGAAAAATTTTGGATGGATTCAGACTTTAATTCTTCGAAGCCTTGAGATGAGTCAACACTTGATGTTGAAGAAACAATAAATAGGCAAGAGCTCTTCCAGACTCCCGTTTTGGGGTAACGTGTTCATCTGTAAACAAGCTATGACCTTCGAAGAAAACATTTCGTGAAACCCATGAAGGCCTGGAAGTTTGGTGGCACCACATGCTAAAGCTTGTGGGTAGCAGAGTTTCGGCAGTCAGGGCAGGAACTCTCTTCGCCAGAAAAAATGTTAGCCTTCTGGGTAAAAATGCAACTGCACTCTGAGCACGAATATATTTTCTCGCGGGCATGAATCCTCCGGTGTATGAGGAGGCCGGATCTCTGTGTGAAGCTCTTCCAACACTGGGAGCAGGAGAACGGCTTCTCCCCTGTGTGAATTCTCTGGTGCTCCACCAGGATGGACTTCCGTGTGAAGCTTTTTTTGCACTCGGTACATGTGTACCGCTTTTCCCCCGTGGGAATTTTATACTGGCTGAGAAATTTAGACTCCTGTGTGATGTTTTTGCCACTCTCCTGATCTGGGATGACCATCTCTTCTGCTACGTATGGGATGTCTCTCTCTTTTGCCTTGTGTCTACTGGGCTCAGGCAAAATAGGCGAAATAGGAGGGGGGAGGGTAGATTTTCGGCAGGTGGTGCAGAAGGTCTCTATCTGCCCCGTGTCGGTGTTTATCGTCAGCGCAAAAAAATTCCCGCACCCGCTGCATGGAAATTTCATGGGGCCTCTGTGGGTCTTGCGGTGAATGAGGAGACCTGATCTCTGCGTGAAACACTTTCCGCACTCCAAACAGGAGAACGGCTTTTCGCCCGTGTGAATCCTCCGATGTTCCACCAGGATCGACTTACGGGTAAAACTCTTCCCCCACATTCCGCACACGGGAAGGGTTTTTCACCGGTGTGGTTCCTCTGATGCCGGACGAGGGCGGCGTTCTGGCAAAAAGACTTATTGCACTCAGAGCAGCGATATAACCGGTCTCCCCGGTTCCCCCCGCTGCTCTTGCCGGAATCGGGGGATATGTCAGCAATGTAAAGTCCCAGATTTATATCCGGAGTGTAGAGGAAATTTTCTGGGGATTCTGGAGAGACGTCACTATTCTGACTGACATGATTCTGTGAAGAGCTAAGATATCTGTCTGCAGTTTTCCTGATGTAGTTTCCATCTGGTGAGAAATAAGAACCTGGCTTAAGTTAGAAATCCCGGGACATGGTCTCAGATTATTCTACATGCGAATTGTATGCGTCTTGAACTGCATCCGATTCACATGACATGTGAACTGAACCGGCTTTCTATGGAGCTGGGTCACATATGTACAGGCCGGCCGCAGTCCGTTTTTAAAAAGAGTCTAGCGTGTTTTTCAGTCCGGTTCAGGTGCAATTTCAAGTAAAAATTCACACCTGAAACGGTGAACAAAACAGCACCGAATTCCTTTTAAAAATCGCACTGAAACTGTAGCTGGACATATGTGCACCCAGCCTTAGAGTCATAATTTATGTAAAACAATATGTGATGTCAATGTGGAAGAAGACTAGAGGAGCTGACGACTAGGAGGAGGGGAAGATGACAGGCGATATCAATGTAGACAGGGGGGGTGTTATGGCAGGTGATGTCATTGTGGAAGAGGACTGGGGCGGGGGGTTATGACAGGTGATGTCATTTTGGAAGAGGACTGGGGCGGAGGGTTATGACAGGTGATGTCATTGTGGAAGTGGACTGGGGCAGGGAGTTATGACAGGTGATGTCATTGGTGGTGTCACAGTGGAAGAGGACTGGGGTGGGGGGTTATGACAGGTGACATCATTGTGCAAAAAGACTGGGGCGGGGGTAATGACAGGTGACGTCATTGTGGAAAAGGACTGGGGCAGGGGTTATGACAGGTGATGTCATTGTGGAAGAGGACTGGGGCGGAGGGTTATGACAGGTTATGTCATTGTGGAACAGGACTGGGGCAGGGGTTATGACAGGTGATGTCATTGTGAAAGAGGACTAGGGCAGGGGGGTTATGACAGGTGATGTCATTGTGGAAGAGAGCTGGGGTGGGGGGTCATGAAAGGTGATGTAATTTTGGAAGAGGACTGGGGCAGGGGGCTATGACAAGTGATGTCAACATGGGAGATGACTGGGGTGGGAATTAATAACAGGTGATGTCAAAGTGGAAGATGACTAGAGTAAGGGGTAATGGCAGATGATATCAATGTGGAAGAGGACTGGGGTAAGAGGTTATGACAACCAATTTCAATGTGGAAGACAACTACGGGAGGTGAGATAAATGACCGGTGATGTTAATGGGGAAAAAAGATTGGGGGATAATGGGCGATGTCAGCTATGGATTAGGCACAGGATGGAAGGCAATCTCAATGTTGAAGGCGATGGGGGATGATGGGCAACATCAAAGAGGAGACGGAAGATGAGAAGGAGAAGTTGGAGGAAAATGGGTGATGTCACGTTAAGGAACATGGAGGAGAATTTGGGTGACGTCACTAGAAAGTAAGTGGGAGAATAATGGACATTGTCGAAGAGAGAGCAGATGTCGATGGGGTAATGATGGACAATTTCAATGTGGAAAAGATGGGAAAACTGGGTGATGTCACGTTAAGGAAGCTGGGGGAGAGATTGGTTGACATCATATGGAGGTTTGTGGGAGGATAATGAGAGATGCCATGTAGAAGAAAACTGGGAGGATACGAAAACACAAGGCTGATGACATCATTGGTTTCTACGGGCAGGATCAAGGGTAACTTGGAAACTGATGGGTGGTTAGGCTGCGGCTGTTGTACAGACTAAATGACTATGAATCTATGAATATTTTCTCTACCTATTGTCTTACTCACCTGTCCCGATCTCTGCTGGAATTTCCTCCTCCCTCGTCATCATGGGAAATGCCAAGTTCTCCTCTTTTTCTTCTTTAATTACGACTACCTGGAAATTGTCCATTTCCTCATCCTATAAAAGAAAAACACATCAACGTTACCCGTTAGGTCCACACACCAAACAAAAAAAAGGAGGTAGTAGGAAGGAGGCCCCCAGTTCTAGCTACCTGATCACGGTGAGGAATGCTGAGGTCTTTCTGTGTAGTAAGACGATGGTGACGTTTCTCCGGTAGAATTCTCCTGCTGGATCCATCTGTAGGGAACATAATGACCGAGTAAAATGAATTCTACTTGACTGAACCGTCCAACTTCTACAAAGAACACAAATGAGGAACAATATTTAAATGATGACCTTATAGAACCCTGTGTAACTAATAGAACTTCATCGTCATCCTTTCTGAACTCTGCTGTCCTACCTGTGTGGGCCCAGGACCAGCATGGGTAATCCATCTATTCGCTGATCTCCCCTACCCAGAAGAGGCATGCATTGCATCGCTTCCCGGCTCTGCTGTCACTTTCCCCAGTCACTGTGGCTGGGAAGGAAGCTAATGACAAATTTTGGGTACCGAAGCTCATAATCATTTGACAGGAACACATAATTGTAAGGCTTGACATCTATTTATTCAGCACAACTGCATCTTTTATATTGACATATTGCGTCTGTGCGCCCTCAAATTATTTTAAAATGTATTTTTATTGGAAATCTCTGCTTGACAAACCATTGCATCAAAGACATAAAAATCTGGAACTGCCACCATTTTATCTCCAGGGTCTCGGCTTTCAGAAAATATATAATGTTTTGGAGGTTTTAAGTAATCTTCAGGCCTAAGCCCCTCCCTGTTTCCGTGGCTGAGCTACTTAGCTGCAACAGGTGAGAAATTAAACTGCACATGCGTGGGGCTCTGAACTAGAACAATGCTCACTGCTGTGATGCTGGGAACGATCTTCCAACGGTTGGCCCATCCTAAGAATAGGATGGAATGGAGTTCTAATCAATAATGACAGTTTTTCTGGCAGGCTTCAGTGGGGGCACAAATGGCCGACTGGGGCTTGTGGACTCACATAGGCTATTTTGTTGAACTAACCCCTTAAAGTAGTTGTAAACCCTCACATATACCCAGAAATGACTGGCCTCAGGTGATACACAGAAATGAAACAAATCCCTGTGCATAAGTTGTACCTGTTTATCTACAGACATTTTTACCTCTACAGCCATTGAAAGTCCAGCATTTATACAGCTTTTCCAAGGCAGAAGGCGGACAGCTAAAGTTACACTCTGCAAAGCTCAGTGAGAAGAGCTCTGAGAGCTGATTGGAGGGAAGGGACACCCCCCCCTTCACAAAAGCACACAGGAACAGAGCGGTCAATCACAGGCTGTGTGCTGGAGCTTCCTCGTCGTCACTTTTTCTTGGGTGTCATTAAACTTGCTTGGAAAAATATTCATGCAGATAGCATAATAGGAACGAGGATTTAAAACCACTTTAAGCCTCATTGGAAGGCCTGGTTCACCCAAAATTCATGTGTCATGTAGTATGTGAGCAGAGTCACAGCCTTTGTATCCTGCACTTCCCCACTTCCAACAAGGATTGCCTAGCGCTCTTCAAAGAGGTAGATTAGAACAGGGCTTGAAAATTCTGTTTGCCAAATGCGAGGGGAAACAGTAATGCCCTGCACATTTATTGATGGAGCGGGTGGCTTGCAACGCTATCTCCAGGCCCCGGGATCGATTTGTGTTCCACTTGTGCTCCAAGCCTCATTTTGAAGCCGACTTCTGGCTTCTTCTTCGACACCGCCATTACACTGGCAGCGCCGCTGAGGGGACAGGTGCAGGAGAGGTCCGCTCTCCTCCGCTGAGGGAGACACGTGGAGAGGCCCACTCTCCAACACCGTAGGGGACACGAGGAAAGGCCCGCTCTCCAACGCCGCGGGGGGCACGTGAAGGAGAGACCCGCCAAATGGGGTGGGGTTTGAGGCGGACCTCGGCAAGCTCTGGTGGGGCAACTGGTGGAGAGTAAGGTTTTTGCCTGGCTAATAGGTCTAGACTTGAAGTTTTAAGCCTTGGATTAGACCACGCCAATATTGGGGAATTTCTTGTTCTTTAACGACGATACACATAGCTCTCTTGGATGTGGTCTTTCTTTCTTTGGTGGAACATGGTCCTCAATTCAGTCAATGATAAAAGAATTTAGAACTCTAGACTTGTAAGAAAAGAGACAGAAAAAAACACACACAACTTCCAAATGGTCCTTCAGAACCAGAAAACCAATAACTATGGACCTTCACTTGCAAGAACTACAAAAACTTGCTGGAAGCACCTTCCATTTCACCTCATATGCTCAAGACTATGGTTCAGGTGAGCACACAACAGAGAACCTTTGATTAAGAAATTCTCCAATGTTGACGTGGTCTAATCTACCTCTTAGAAGAGCGCTACGCAATCCTTGTTAGAATTGGGAAGGTGCAGGAGACAAAGGCTAGGACTCTGCTCACATACTACGTGACACATGAATAACATATATCAGAATATAGGAACCATATCTGTATTAGACATTTATTGGTCACCTGTGCAGATCTCAGGAGGAACTCGGTTCTCTTCACATGGCGGGTCAACCTCCATACACACTTCTTCTTCACCTATACATTTTGCTTTAAGGTTCAGATCTTCACCCTAGAAACGCATAAAAAAATATCAAAAACATAAATAATATCTAATTTATTACAATGAGAATGTCACTTCAGAAGGTCCACACAACTGCTTTAGAGATCATACAAAGTCACTCTTGTATTAAAAACTTCAGTACCACCTACCTGATGATGGTGAGGGGTGATATGATCTTCCTGTGTGGAATCCCAGGAATACAGAGGATGGGGACATTTCTCTGGTGGGTTTCTGTTACTGGATCCATCTGTAGGAACTTTCTCCTCTTTACACTTGGATCCATCTGTAGGAACTTTCTCCTCCTTACACTTGGATCCATCTGTAGAAACATTCTCCTCCTTACATTTGGATCCATTTGTAGAAACATTCTCCTCCTTAAACTTGGATCCATCTGTAGTAACTTTCTCCTTCTTACACTTGGATCCATCTGTAGTAACTTTCTCCTCCTTACACTTGGATCCATCTGTAGGAACTTTCTCCTCCTTACACTTGGATCCATCTGTAGGAACTTTCTCCTCCTTACGCTTGGATCCACCTGTAGGAACTTTCTCCTCCTTACGCTTGGATTCACCTGTAGGAACTTTCTCCTCCTTACGCTTGGATCCACCTGTAGGAACTTTTTCCTCCTTACGCTTGGATCCTTCTGTAGGAACTTTCTCCTCCTTACGCTTGGATCCATCTGTAGGAACTTTCTCCTCCTTACGCTTGGATTCATCTGTAGGAACTTTCTCCTCCTTACGCTTGGATCCATCTATAGGAACTTTCTCCTTACGCTTGGATCCTTCTGCAGGAACTTTCTCCTCCTTACATTGCACATCAGTTCTCAAACACACCTCTTCTTCACTCTCTGTGAGTTCAACTTTAACATTGATCAGATGTTCCACCTAAGAAATACAGAACAGTTTTATCGACTAGAGACCCATGACATCCTATAGCGGGGAAAGTTGACAGCCTGTCAATCGTGGTCTTGTGAAGGGCAGATCCTTTCCCCGCCATGCCAACCTCCGTCACTCACTGCTGACCCCTGCACTCTTCAAACCTTTCTTACTTTTTAATAGGGCCTTGCTAGGTGATATTTAAAGATAAAAGGGTCTGCACCCTGGTGATCTCTTCAATGTTGTTCAGGAAGACCTCCACCTCTCCAAAGTTGCCTACCCCTGCCTTATAGGTACCTGACACACACAATGATACAGTCACCATCCAGACACATCCCATGTCTGTTACTGGAGAATGTCCCAGAATTCCCGGCACCGCTCACCTCTCCTGTCAGCAGCTTAATGATCTTCTTGGTGACTTCTAGGATCTTCTGTCCCTTGTTCTTCTCAGGTGTCAGGGAGGGACTTGGAGACACCTTGATGGTCACATGGTCACCAGACTTGGCCGGAGGAAATCTCTAATGAAACAGCAAAAAATGTCATGTCAGTAAGTGATGACACGTGACCTCCCAGAATCCTCCTCACCAGTCAGGTCTGCGTTTTATTAACAGAGATAAGAGTGATGTCACGTGACCTCCCAGAATCCTCACCTCTCCAGTAAGGTCTGTGTTTTATTAATAGAGGTGAGTGGTGTCATATGGCCTCCCAGAATCCTCCACACCTCTCCAGCCAGGTCTGTGCTTTATTAATAGAGATAAGAGTGATGTCATGTGACCTCCCAGAATCCCCCTCACCTCTCTGGTCAGGTCTGTGTTTTATTAATAGAAATGATAGCATGTCATGTGACCTCCCAGAATCCCCCTCATCTCTCCAGTCAGGTCTGTGTTTTATAAGAGTGATGTCATGTGACCTCTCAGAATCCTCCTCACCTGTCAGGTCTGTGTTTTATTAATAGAGATAAGAATGATGTCACGTGACCTCCCAGAATCCTCCACACCTCTCCAGTCAGGTCTGTGCTTTATTAATAGAGATAAGAGTGATGTCATGTGACCTCCCAGAATCCTCCTCACCTCTCTGGTCAGGTCCATGTTTTATTAATAGAAATGATAGCATGTCATGTGACCTCCCAGAATCCTCCTCACCTCGCCAGTCAGGTCTGTGTTTTATTAAGAGATAAGAGTGATGTCATGTGACCTCCCAGAATCTTCCTCACCTCTCCGGTCACCAGACAGATGATCTCCAGAGCAAGGTGTATTATCCGCTCGGTCATGTGTGTTGTATTCCCTTCCAGGTGCAACCAAGGGAGGGATGAGTAGTTCTTGTGGAGATCCTTGTGTCCTTCTAAATACTCCCACTCCTCCATGGAGAAATAGACAGTGACATCCTGACACACAATGATAAACAGAACAGGTCAGACAAAAAGTAGGGGTTGAAACCCACCTCTCCTACGGTATGTTTTTTTTTTTTTTTTTAATTCCAGCTTAGCTATACATTTTGGCAGCGCATATATATATATATATATATATATATATATATATATATATACACACACACACATATGACTTTGTATTTCCAGATAGGGGGCACATGCACTCCCTATCTGTGCTGCCATTGGCGGCTTCAGCTGTCGATAACCAGGTCCCGGACGGTAATTCCCCTCCGGCACCCGGCGATCACCGAGTATCACTGATGGGGGAGAGGTCTGTATGTATACAATGCAGATCTCTCCCCTGTCAGCTCCTGCACACTGCTTTGTATGGCTCTGCATAGCACCACGATTACACAGTAAAACACCCACAGCACACAGTTAACCCTTTGATCGCCCCTGATATTAACCCCTTCCTGCCCCGTGCCATTAGTACAGTGTCAGGGCTTTTTATTAGTACTGATCACTGTATTGTTGTCACTGGGGATGTCAGTAACAGTTAGTTCCCCCCCCCAGTGTCAGAATGCCTGCCGCTGTCCCGCTATATGTCGCCAATTGCCGCCATTACTAGAAATAAAAAAAAAAAAAATCCCAGTATCTATACCGCCATTCGTAGACGCTGTAACTTTCACGTAAACCAATTAATTTACATGTATTGGGATTTTTTTTTTCAGCGAAGACATGTAGCAGAAACATTTTGGATAAAATTTGATTTTTACATTTTTTTTACTTGACATGTTTAATAGCAAAAAGTCAAAAATAGTTTTTTTTTCTCTCAAAATTGTCAGTCAAAAAATAAAAACTGCCCAGGCGATCAAATACCACCGAAAGAAAGCTCCAGAATGTAAATTTAATTTGGGGTGCGGCGTTGCATGACTGCACAATTGTCAGTTAAAGTAACACAGTGCCGTATTGCAAAAAATGGCCTGTTAAGAAGGGGGAGGGGGGGAATCATCTGGTGGGCAAAGGATTAATCTACCATCAAAAGTGCCTTCTCTAGGACATCGGGGGGCCCTCCTTCTTTCCGATTATTCCCCAACATCCAGAGTCAGCCATCTACTGATAACGCCGTCGCTGTATTACTGAGATAGGGGGAGGGGCTGTTGTATTTGCTAATAAGATACCAGTCGGTGTTTCGCCTGTTAGTGTATAGCGCCAACATATTCTGCAGCGCTGTACAGAGACCGCAGACCCACCCCCATCAGCCCCCAATTCCAACAGCCCGGGGGCTTGCGAGGTGACGCCATTCTATAGGAATACCGCCGTGGGAGAAACCGTATGCCGACCGCGGCACTCCAACGCTTCTACATAGAGAACCCTGTCATGCCTGACACCTGTGATGGGTCCCTTTTGAATGGCCTCCTTAAAGGGGACCTGTAGCCAAAGAATACGGAGCAGGCGGGGGGGCCAGATTTGCACATCCCCAGGATCACCAGTAGCTGGGCTTTAAAATGATGACAGTGTCTATTAATGGAGCACAATGGGGAGCCCAGCCCCCAACAACAGTGGCCCCTCCCCACTGTCAGAGTGGTCCTACCCCCCCACCTGTTCAGGACTCTCACCTTCTTCTCCAATTCACATTCAAAGTCCATAGACAAACAATGAGAGCCATTACCTGCTGCCAGCAACTGCCATGTCCGCTCTGTTCACCTATCACCCCGGAAACACATTAAAAAAACGGACTTCCGGCTTCTAGCAAGCTGCTTCCGAGTTGTGCGTTCCAAGAGAGAAAAGCAATTTTCTGGGCTTTGCGTTCCAACGGCTCCCTCTGCTGGTCCTTGCTGGTACTGCGCGCTCCAGCTCCACCAAATGCTGTTAACCATTTTTTTTTTTTTTTTTTTTTAATGGTTGAACTGGATGGACTTTTGTCTTTTTTCAGCCAGACTAACTATGTAACCTGTTCAGTGCTGTTTGCTGATGCCGCCCATCTTGCAACTCTTGATTTTTTTTTTGATTTTTTTTTTTATATTTTATATATGATAATATGAATTCTGTCTGACATAATGCATCTCTTGACCCTCCCTTTTAGATTGTAAGCTCCAACGAGCGGCTGATTCCTCCTGTATTGTAATAATATTGTATTGTAATTGGACTGTCCGCCCTGTTGGTGCTATACAAATATAATAATAATAATAATAATAATATGACCTTTTCCAATGTAAAATCAATTTCAGTAAATATTAAATAAGTTAATTCTATTAGTTACACAGGGTTCTATAAGATCATAATTTAAATATTATTCCTCATTTGTGTTCTTTGTAGAAGTTGGATGGTTCAGTCAAGCGGAATTAATTTTACTCGGTCATTATGCTTCGTACAGATGGATCCAGCAGCAGAATTATACCGGAGAAACGTCACCACCCACATGGAGGAAAAATATATTTGAAATATATTTTAAAAATATTCTTCCCAAATATATTGCCATATATTTGAAATGCTACACTTTTGGCTGTATTCAATATATTTCAAAATCTATTTCAACAAATATATATATATATATATATACTGCATGTTGAAATGTGTTTTATTACAAAATATATGACAAATATTTTTAAAAATACATTTCAAATATAAAGTGTGTCTTTAAAAATACAAATCTACATTTTTGGAATGCATTTACAAATATATGTAAAAATATATGTTAAAATGACTTTTTTTATATGTAAAACAAATCTGAAGAATATATTTTAAAAAATATATTTTTAAAAAAAAATATTTTTTTTAAAACATATTCTTCAGATTTTTTTTTAACATATAAAAAAGTCATTTTAACACATATTTTTACATATATTTTTAAATGCATTCCAAAAATGTAGATTTGTATTTTTAAAGACATACGGTATAATTGAAATGTATTTTAAAAAAATATTTTTCCTATATTTTGTAATAAAAACGCATTTCAACATGCAGTATATATATATATTATTTTTTCTATTTTTTTTTATTTATTTATTGAAATATATTGAATATGGCCAAAATTTTAGCATTTCAAATATATGGCAATATATTTGGGATGAATATTTTTAAAATATATTTCAAATATATTTTTCTTCCATATGGGCATCATCTTACTACACAGAAAAAAACCGTGGCCTCCCTCACCGTGATCAGGTAGCCAGGACTGGGGGCCTCCTTTTTTTTGCGTTCTGCACATCTAGTGACACCATGGCCTCCCCAAGAACCCTCAGCGTTCGTAGCG